GGGGGGGGGGGGGGGGAGCGAAGCAAGGTGGGGGGCGTACAAAGCAAGAGACCTGCACCCGGCGAGACGTAGTGGCCTGAGAAGCGTTGGTTAATTTGTTCGAAGGAAGCGGGTCACTACTAACTGCTAGGTAACTTACTGCTAGATCTTTCTCATTTGAAGCCTCGTGACTGTTAGTCCCAACAACGAAATCTGGCCAAAAATCGATTTAGCACAGGAACCAGAGGCAATAGAATCGGGTAACTTACCGCTAGATCTTTCTCATTTGGAGCCTCGTGACTGTTAGTCCCAACAACAAAATCTGGCCAAGTGTAAGGGCCCTGATTGTTGCCGTGCATTGTGAAAAATTGGTGAAACTTGAGCCCTACACGAGCCCTGCCAGTATTTTGAAATAAAATGTTCAAACAAATTCACCTACCTCGCCCGTTTCATTCTGGTCAATCTTCTCTTTGTGCACGTCATCGTATCCACGCCCGTCATCAGCATACCTAAGCAAAGGTGAGCATATGGGCTTCGTCCTGGATGACAGATTAACCAACTCGAACCTTACACAAATGCCGAATCCTGGTGGCTTTGCCAGAAGCCACTTGAAGTTTCTAGAGGGCGAATTGCCAGCGTACACGAAGGTGGTCATAAACAACAGAGAGGACGACTTCATTCTGGACCTTTGGCGGCGATACTTCAAACGTTATCCAGTGGACCTGGCGGACAACGTAGAGCCGACAGAAGAGACACTTGCCAGCATCAACGATAACGAGCCAGATGAGTGGTAGCTACCACTTTTATGATAAAATACAGTCAAGTGCCTGCACAACTTTTTGGTAAATGGCACTGTGGTCTTATGAAATGAGAAACATGGGGGAAATCTAATGAAACATGTTGCATTTTGGGCCCAGACCATTTCATATATATCTCATTGTTTGCCTAGCAATATTTCTTTGCCATTTCTTTGCCATTTCATTGGCTGACTGGCTATATTTCTTTTCCATTTCATTGGTTGCCTGGCCATATTTTTTTTCTATTTCATTGTTTCCCTAGCAATATTTCTTCGCAATTTCTTTCCCATTTCATTGGCTGCCTAGCCATATTTCTTTCCCATTTCATTCATATTTCTTTTCCATTTCATTGTTTCCCTAGCAATATTCCTTTGCCATTTCATTCCTATTTCATTGGTGGCCTAGCCATATTTATTTCCCATTTCATTCATATTTCATTGTTTCCCTAGCAATATTTCTTCGCCATTTCTTTCCCATTTCATTGGCTGCCTAGCCATATTTCTTTCCCATTTCTTTTCCATTTCATTGTTTCCCTAGCAATATTTCTTCACCATTTCTTTCCCATTTCATTGGCTGCCTAGCCATATTTCTTCCTCATTTCATTGGCTGCCTGGCTATATTTCTTTCCTATCTTGTCAGGGTCCATCCAATGGGTCATCAGGAGGGTGGTCACATGACCAATTTCCTAAAATAGTCAAAATAAAAAAATTAATAGCCCTGAATTGTAGCTTTCAGAATCTGTTTGAATTATGTTCTAAAGTGCTCTCATTGTGGAGATATGAGGCAAATGAATTTTCACAGTGCCGGCTTTTTTCAACCTTTTTGTCTTTTTCTCCAGGAAAACAACACCAAACAATATAATTTTAACATATTTAGAAAGCTAAGAAAAGGGGCTACAATTATCATATCATAGAAAATTTGACTCAAAAAGGAAGGTGCATAGCCT